GGTCGCCCTGGGAGGCCCCAGAAGGGGTGGGGGTATGCACGGTGCAATCACTGCACCGTTCCCGTTGCTCATGGGTCTCGGCTTTCGCCAATACCTCATCTAGTGAGAGCAACTCTGCTAAAGCAGTCTTGCGTCTCTTCTCAGGTCGCTGACTGCCCTGGCGTCCTTCATGCGGGATCGCCTCAACGAGTGATAATACACGCTTGCATGATTGATGCTGATACACTGGCACGGGCTCATTGCTCCCACGTCATTTGTCCAGCATGAGTGTGACAGCGTGCGCAGGCCCCTGGCAAACGGCCAGGGCCCTTCTGGCCAACTGCCTCCATCGGCTGTCCTGATGGAGGCCGCGTCGGCAAATCTTTCGCCTGACGCTGCATGAAAGTGCGACTGTGCTGCTGTGTTGCAGTAGTCACGTCCGCAGTGGAGCCTGCCATAGGCTCGGTTCCGTCCCGCTGGAGTTTGAAGGTCCCCCCGGCGGTCCCAGAACCAAAATTCCATGGAAAAGAGCTTGCTGGGCCCGTTCGGGCCCCTCGCAGGCTTCCTGCGTGGCTTTTGACAGTGTGAAACTCTGGCACAGGCGTGTGGGCTGCATAGGCGGTCACCTCACTACTGTCGTCGACCTCGTACTCGTGTGTCAGGACCTGTCCCCATTGCATTCGACGCACCAGTCGTTGTAGAAGCGATACCGTATCATCCACCCGCGGCTCTGCAGTTCCATCGCTGTCATCCTCTCGCTCAGTCGGCTGGTCTCCTTCAGCTGCATCTGGTGGTCGCTGGGGCAGATCCTCTTCCACATTCTGTTCTTGTTGCGGTACTCCTGGTTCAGGCCCAGGTTGAATTTCAGGGGGTGCATGGTGGTCGAACTCATCCAGACCTGGTCCCCCAACTGATCGGTCCAGACGGTCGCGTGCTACTCGTAGTGCCTCTTGTGCCAGACGCACCTCCATCCACCATTCATCCACTGAGCTCCGAGCAATAGCAGCCATTGATCGTGCATACTGGTGCCGTCGTGATACTCCTCTCGTCCATATTTGATCACATAGTTCACGTGCAGCCTGCATGAGCTCGGTGGCCGTGTCGTACCTCCTGTTGAGTATTGGTATAGTATGGAACATCTGCATCACGTATGGCATGCAGTATATCATCAAATCGCGCCTCACAAAGTCATCATTATATAGGTAGTGCTCAATGCTCCACGCTGCTGCCTGATCACGGACTGCCGTTATCAGACTTCCCTGGAAATGACGTTCCGCCCGTTGCTCGATCGTCTCAGGGCGATCATCTGGCGGTTCCTGGCCGTTCTCACACGTACCATCAATGCGCCGTGTTTGTACTGTCATCTGGTACAGGCTGGTCGAGTCGTCACCCTGCTCCTCCTGGCCCCGCGTCCCCTGGTTGCCCGTGGCGAACCTTCCAAATCCTAGCTGTGGGACAGGATGCGGGACGGTATGTTCAGGATGTGCTTCTGGGCTCTCACTCTGGGGCTGCGCCTCGATCACCATCATCTCTTGATCGGTCCCCTCTGGGGCATGTACTCCGTGTGCAGGGGCATGTACTTCGGAGGTTGCTTGGGTCTGCGCCTCATGTGCAGGATGGGGTAGCCTTCCTCCTCGTCTGGCTGTCTCGATGACATTCACGGATAATTCTTTACCCCTTCGAATTCGATCTTCAATTCGAGGCTGACGATGTGCTTGATGGGCCTGGAGTGTCAAATATCTCCTGGCTCTCGTCAGCCTCGCCATCTGCTCAATCATGTAGTTGGCCCACACATCAGGGTTGCGGGCGAGCAATGCTGATAGTCTCTGCTGGCTGTTGTATCGCGCAATTCCCCCACTGCACCATACCCCATTGCAGATCTCAATAGCAGCACTGTTGCATAGGTCCCATCTCAATACTGTCGTCATGGCTAAATGGTTGCGCACTGCAGGCACACACCAATCCATCCAGTCCTGTCGCGCTGCCTCGATTGACCAGAGGAAAGCCTCTGTATTCCATGCATCAACCATTGATCGTAGACCGCTCTCAATCATCCCTTGAGGACGGTAGTAGGTATTGTCATCGGAGCTGACTATGACAGCTCTGGACATTTCACGGAGGCTCTGCAATTGACCCATGAGAGCGTGTCCGTGATCATCCTAAGGTATTGACCGACTTTCCCCAAGTCGATGTGAAACTGCTCGCTGTTGCCCGCCGGGGTTGCTTCGAGCATGATGGTATTAGGGCTCTCCTCTTCCACTTCAGGATTGCCATGTCTTGATGTCGCCAGTTGGTCGTGCCTTCCGCGTACCCTTCTCCAGCCTCCATCCTTTGTGTCATTCACGCTGCCGTCCTCGTTGCAGACGTTGCCGCTGCTGCCGCACTCGCATCCACTGGTATTTCTTCTGGCTGAGCTGGCAGTCGATGGTACTTGTGCGCAGCAGGATTGGGGTCGCCCTCGGCGGGTCGAACTGGGCGTCGACTTGTCGGGTACGGCTCCGACGTCGCGTTTCCCTTCCCCGTCGATTTGCCTCCGAATTGCGCCACCAAGCTGCTGAACTGGTCTGATCCTGGCCCTGGTAGTCGTGGCGACTCCTGGGTTGGTCCTGCAGGCTGTGTTGGTGCCAGGTGTGCAGGATCCACCCAGGGAGTCTCTTCTGCAGGGTTGGCTCCAGCTGCCTTGGGCTGCGGCTGTGGCGCTCTGAGCGCGCCTCCCACCACCTCCCACTGCACCGTCTTGGGGTCCCTCATACATGGTCCCAAGGCTCCTTTTACTGCCATCTGCGCTGCCGCCGCTGCCGCCTCCAGGTCTGGGAGCCCCATCGCTGCTGCAGCCGCTGGGGAGAGCTCCGCGCCAGGCCACTGAGGCGCCGTCTGCCCCACTTGCACCGGTGGCTGCGGCACTGCTGCAACCTGTGCTGGCGCAGTAAACCCCATCGCCTCCAAGGTTGGCGGCTGTCTTGGGATTGGCCCCAGGGGCGGCATCTGGGGTGCCGCGTAGCCGCTGGGGGCTCTGGGCTGCGGGGGCGTCGGGCATGGTCCGACTGGCGAGCATGGTCCACCAGGGTACTGCTGCATGTACTCCTGCATCTTTACCATCTGGTACACCATCTGTTGGTTCTGCAGCTGGAGTTGTGCATATGCCGTTGCTCCATTGCGGTTTTGCTCCTGCAACGTAGCAATCGTCTGGGCGGCCGCTGTGTTCTTCGATCCTGTCCCAGATATGTCCATTCCTGAGGTATTTGTCTCCGCAACTGGAAGTATGTCCTTGAGCTCGACTGCGATCTTGGATTCGATCTCCGCCAGCGCTGACTTGGTATCCGCAATATCGTCTTCGATCTCCTGAACTTGCGTCTCCAGCAGGGCGATACGGCATTTTGTATTCTTCAGGTCCTCCATCTTGGCTGTCAATCGTGCCATGTGTTCTGCTTTGACTTCGCTCAGCGGCTTCAGCTGGTCCAGGGCGTACAGTAGCATGCCCATCTCCTCCTTGAGCTCCTCGTCTGACTTCCTCGCTCTGACCGCCTGTACTGCCAGCCGAGCCAGCACCATCATCCGCGTCTTCACTCGATCTCGGAACTGGCTGTGCGTGCGGCGGTCCTCTGGAGGTTCCCACTTGGCCCAATCTTCGTGCGACTCGGCAATATGTTTCAAGGCAGGAACCACTCTCTCGATGAGCTTGCGAGCCGCTTTGTCCAGGCCATCTCGGTCGGGCTTGCGCTCCTGCTGGGAGCGGTCTCGCCCTGGCCTCTTCTTGGGCGCGGGGTTGTTGCCTCCCCACTGTCCTTTGTGGCGAGAAACGCTCCTGCTGGGTCTCCGTCGCTTGTCGAAAGAGGAACCACACGATGAGCATTCCCATTGCCATCCTGGTTGGTGTTGTCCGCATCTGCATGTCCATCCTGGGGACCCAGTACTAATTTCTTCTGTACTTTGATGCCTTTGAGCACTGTGGTGTTCTTGCAGCAGCTTCACCGCCTGATATACCCGCAGAAGAGTACGGGCGTCTGCTCTTTGTCGGCGTCGTCGTCGATGCCAGGCAGGTTCGCGCTGCTGGGAGCGAGAACGGCGATCTGAGTTGTCCGAATCAGAAATTGTAACAGTAATGTTATCAGTCGTGGCTGGCGTGAGAGTGCCAACACACGTGAGGTCAGAGCTCCTGCGGGCGGCCTCCCTAGGCGCCCACTCGAACCCAAACCTTCTCCTCCTCCTCCTCCTCCTCCTCCTCCTCCTCCTCCTCCTCCTCCTCCTCCTCCTCCGCCTCTCCCTCCTCCGCCTCCCCCTCTGCCTCCCCCTCCCCCTCCCCCCTCCTCCTCCTCCGCCTCCTCCTCCTCCTCCTCTTCCTCCTCCTCCTCCTCCTCCTCCTCCTCCTCCTCCTCCTCCTCCTCCTCCTCCTCCTCCTCCTCCTCCTCCTCCTCCTCCTCCTCCTCCTCCTCCTCCTCCTCCTCCCCCTCCCCCTCCTCCATGCCAACTGGTCAGCCTTCTCGGGCCCTCGCGTGCTCTCGGTGCTCGTTGTGCCCTTGGTCGGTCCCGCCGCCGCCGGTGCCACCCTCGCTTCCCCCCCTCTGCGGGCTTGCGGCCCTCAGGGCACGGCCGACCCTGGATCACTGGTCGCTCCCTACAGGCAGGGCGCCGAAAGGACGACCACTCTGAGTTCAGGAGGCGGAGGAGGAGGAGAAGGAGGAGGAGAAGGAGGAGGAGCAGGAGGGGGAGGCGGAGGAGGAGGAGGAGGAGGAGGAGGAGAAGGAGGAGGAGGAGGAGGGGGAGGCGGAGGGGGAGGAGGAGGAGGAGGAGGAGGAGGAGGAGGACGAGGAGGGGGAGGAGGGGGAGGCGGAGGCGGAGGGGGAGGAGGAGGGGCAGGCAGAGGGGGAGGAGGAGGGGCTCTGATTCTCGAGCCGTTCCGTAGATCTGGGTCGGGGAGCCCATTCGTGGCCGAGGCTCGCCGTGTGCAAGGCAGCGGCGCGGGGGCGCATCGCGGGGCGCGGTGCCAAAGTTTGGGACCCAGTTGATCCTTGATCTTTCCC